GTGCCGCTTGCACAATTCCTCAAGCATTTCACTCACCACATGCCTCTACATACATATATATAAATTAAAGAATCAAAATGATACACCATGCATATATGCAAGTAGCAAGCCATTACAAAAGAATGGGATTGGGATAACATATAGCCAAATTGGTGGGACTGTTTACTTGATAATAATATGGTTTTAAGTTCGACTTTTGAATTACTTATTTGGTCTTATTGGTTTAAGCACCCTTTGCACGTTAGTGTAACAAGGCAGGATTTATCCATGAAAAAAAAAAGTTATGAAAAGGGATTGAGTTATTACACTATAGTTAAGAGGTAGGCAGGATTTATCCGTGAAAAAAAAAAGTTATGAAAATGGATTGAGTTATTACGCTATAGTTAAGAGGTTGGGGCGTGTGCGGCGTGACGCTTAAGCGGCCGACGGGGTCAAAATAGGGCCGCGGCGCTAGGGAGGATGACGACGCTCCAGGTTGACCTAGATGCAACTGTGGGTTCAACGGCGGCGGAGTGGGGAACCGCGGCGGCGACACCAGGGACGGCGCTCCTGGTTGACTACCAAGCCCGAACTGCAGGTTCAACGGCGGCGGCGGTGCTCCCGCTCCCTCCCTTTGATACCGCGGATTGGGGAACCCTGGCGGCGGCGAGTGCGTCATTTCACCACCTTCCGGCTCCTTCCTCTTGCAGCCACCGCTTGAAGTAGCAAGCATGTTCAGACAGACTCTATTCACTACTTACGCTTTCTTCTCTTGAGCTTGAACTTTTACAGAGTCATCACAGCGATTTCTCAACAACAAACTCATAAAATCATCAAACATTTTCGTCCCTAGCCAACTACATACACGTATACGTATACATATACACACTCAGATTGGAGAAGGAAGATCGGAGCGGCAATAAGATATACAGAAATGCAGAATGCAGTGGGATTATATAAGGATTTGGGCTAGGGTTTCAGGGATGAGATGCAGAAGGGAGGATGCATTGCGGCGGATATCTTCTAAATTGATTAGTTATAATTATACCAACATATTTTATATATATTCCCATTGTAATATTACCGATATTGGCTCTTATATAATTTAGTAGATTTTTTAAAATATTCTACAATTTAATATTTTAATATATATCAAAATTTTATCATGTTAAATTTGTATTTAATTATATTGTTCGAAGCTAAAAAATTTCAATTATATTGAGTAAGCTAGCAATAGTTTGTTGCTGATTTCAATATTTGATCTTGATTTTGTATGTGTGGAATTTTTTTTGTTTGGAGGTTTTAATTTTAAATTTTCTGTTTTGAGTGATGAGGGAAACTTAATTTTTTAATTTTTTAGTTTTATGAAGTCATACATGCCCGCATGCAGGGGATACAATTCAAGGAGTCCACAAATAGAGAAGGTGGCACATTGGTGCGCATGTAGGGAAGGCGACTTAAAATAATCTTTTGTGGACCCGCAAACATGGAAGGTGGCCCAAGGAAGAAACGTGCCTAAAAAATGGAGAGGAAAAAGTAAAGTTGCAAAACACGTTAGGCGCCCTCTAGGCGCCGATTTTTTTTTTTTATTATTCTTTTTAAAAAAATTTTAAATGTAAAAAAAATTAAAAATATCAAAATTCACTAATAAAACATAATATTCTCATCGTTTTTTCTTACAATTTTTTTTTTTAATGCTACTAGCTCTTTTACAATGTAGTATCTGTTCATATACTTTCTCAACCTACTGAAACACAAAGAGCCAATAACGCCTCCACTGAGGTCTAAACTCACAACCTTCCAAATGGAAGGCCATCATCGCCGCAGACGGGCGGCGCCTAGGCGCAATTTTTGCAACACTGGCACAAAGATTTGTACGGCCAACATGTAGGGAAGGCGGTCCAAGGAGATTGCAAGCAGGGAATGCAACTCATCGGCTCGAATTTTGGAAAGGCAGCTTAAAATTATCTTTTGTGGGAAAATCTATTGCATGGGCCTGCATGTAGGGAATGCAACCCTAAGACCCTGCAAGTAGGGAAGATAACACAATAAGCTCACGATGAGAAAGGACAACAAAAAAACAAAAAAAAAAAAAAAAAAAAAAAAACTCTCTTTTTCTTGCAGAAAACAAGTGAGAGATAAGTATTCTTGACGATTTCATGTCAGAAAGGCAATAGGGACGACCAAGCTATCCAAAATAGAGGAAAATCTTTCAGTCTAAGGGTTAGCAAGGGTGAAGTGGGCCATAAGGCTTCACGAGAGGGAGAGAGGAGGAGAAGATGAATGAAAGGTTATATTTTTGGGCATCCGAGATTCGAACAATTTTTAGAGCCTATGGGATCAAGATCAAGAGCAAAACTCAAAAACATACTATGAGAGTCTAAAGGCCGTGATGCGAGACCGTGAGGTCAGAGTCGTCTAATACAAAGGGTAATAAGCCCACAAGAGGAGGGTGTGAAGGTAGAGCTGAGCAAAAAAAAGGTGGTGCATGCATCCATGAAAAATCAAACACAAGATATTCAGAATAGCAACATAGACAACATCCAACTAAGTTACCTAAACATTTTGTGTAAATAGGAGTATTAATAATACTTATTATTAGTGAAGGGAACTAGTTAGTGACACATGGTGTCTTGTGATGATGACAAGTGGGTGAACATGACTAATTGAATTAACACGTGAACCACACATTTTTGGGGGAGAGACCCTATATAAGGGTGCTCTTACCTCCCCCCACCCCCCCCCCAAAAAAAAAAAAAAAAAGAATTCTAAGATCATTGAATTATCTTTCATTCACATGGTCTAATTAATGGTCTCTTGCCCACTATTATTTCATCTCATTAACTTGGATTCGATTCCTAACGAGTCCATATCTATTCCTAGTTCATTTTTGGGCTAAATTATTAATCGTTTATTTATTATTTATTTCTACGACCGTTATCTTGGGCCGTTGTATATACTCTTTTGGGTTTAGTGTCCTAAGCAATAATAATTTGGAGTATTATTTTCTCATTATATTACCCTCATTTTTTAGGAGTGTTATGCCCTGGACCCGTGTCTACCATGTGTATGGTGGACACGCTGTACATTCATAATTTCTATATTATAGATTCATAATTTCTATACTTTAGATTCATAATTTCTATACTATAGATTCATAAAATTTATAATGTAGATTCATAATTTCTATACAGCACATTCATAATTTCTGTACTGTAGATTCATAATTTCTATATTGTAGATTCATAATTTTTATACTGTAGATTCATAAATTTATAATGTAGATTCATAATTTCTATACTGCACATTCTTAATTTCTGTACTGTAGATTCATAATTTTATAACTATGTGTTCATAATTTGATAACTATACAGTTTAAAAATTATGAATCTACATTACTTAAATTATGAATCTACAGTACAGAAATTATGAATTTGCAGTAGAGAAATTATTAATCTACATTATAAATTTTATGAATCTACAGTTTAGAAATTATGAATCTACAGTATAGAAATTATGAATGTACAGCGTGCCCACCATGCACATGGTGGACACGGGTCCATGGCATAATTTGCCCATTTTTTACATCCCTACTCGGTTTATGATAGAATTGAGTCCAATAATGAGGGGCAGGAGAGAAAGGATGGGAAAATCTAAAACGAAATATAAACATTATATATATATATATATATATATATATATATATTCCTTGACCAAAAAGTTTCTCGCTCTCTCTCCTCATTTAATATTAATTTAGATCAAGAATATTTTTTTTCATTGAAAATGAATGAAATTATTAAATTTAATTAATTGGATACTTAGTGACGTGGAATCTTTGAGACTTACCTTCATTTCTCGATATGCTTAATACCAATATGGTATAATTATATTTTGACGATAGCAAAATACATATCTCTATGACTAGAAATGACAATAATATTTACATAAATAATAAATATAAAATACCAATAAGTTAATAAATATATCCTAAAATTCTATTTCAATCTATTGGTACAAATATAAATCTCCATATTGTTAGTGAGTATTATTATTCTTTATATTATATAGTTCTTTTATGTGGTTTAGATTTAGTTGACTTGAGCTTTTCTATTAGATAGGAGAGACTCTCGTTACTTATCTTTAATAATCTGTAATCTCCGTTGATTGTAACTGATTGATGAAATTCAAACTCTATTCTGGTATCAGATAGGTTACGATCCCTTTTCTCTCTCCACCTTACCCACACAATCCCAACCGGAAAACTCATCTCCCAGCTATGTCGCAATCGTCCGGGCGCACAGTCTCAGCCGGTGGTTCTCCCTCACCGGCGACCGCCAACCCATTGGCCGGCGCCCATCATCACGTTTCAATGAAATTGAACAGCCGCAATTTCCTCTTTTGGAGGACTTAGCTAATCCCTTTTCTGAGAGGGCTGGATCTGCTAGGATATGTGGACGGCTCCACGCCGTGTCCACCGGCGACTATTGCCGCTGCTACGTCCGGCGACTCCCGCTCTGGTACGACGCCAGCGGCCGCCGTTATTCCCAACCCAACGCACAAGGCCTGGGTGCTCCAAGACCAGTCGATCCTGTCGATGTTGATCTCCTCCATGTCTGATGAAGTGCTTCATCTAGCCGTCGGCCGGGAGACAGCAGCGGAGGTGTGGACGTCGATCACGACGGCGCTCGGATCCTCCACGCAAGCTCGGGGCCTCAGCCTTCTTGTCCAATTCCAGTCGCTGAGGCAAGGGAATTCCTCCACCGCTGAGTACTTGGGACGTGCAGAAGTGCTCGTGGAAGCACTGGCTCCAGCCGGCCGGTCGCTCTCCTCCTCCGAGCGGGATGTCCGATTGACAGGAAGAGCACAAGTGGATATGCTGTCTTTCTCGGAACCAACTTGATTTCTTGGCTGTCCAGGAAGTAGCGCACAGTAGCACGGTCATCCACAGAAGCTGAGTACAAAGCTCTTGCCGATGTCTCCGCAGAAGTAACATGGATTGTCTCTTTACTACGGGAGTTAGTTCTACACTCTTCTCACCCAGCCACTCTATGGTGCGACAACCTTGGAGCGACAAATTTATGTGCAAACCCCGTATTTCATGCACGGACGAAGTATGTCGAGATCGATTATCATTTTGTTCAGGATAAGGTCGCCTCAGGAGACTCCGTGGTCAACTTTGTATCTACCAGGGACCAGCTGACAGACATCTTGACCAAACCACTCACAGGACCCAGGTTCACGCTCCTTCGAGACAAGCTCATTGTTGTTTCGCACCAACCTTGTGCTTGAGGGGGTGTGTTAGTGAGTATTATTATTCTTTATATTATATAGTTCTTTTATGTGGTTTAGATTTAGTTGACTTGAGCTTCTCTATTAGATAGGAGAGACTCTCGTTATTTATCTTTAATAATCTGTAATCTCCATTGGTTGTAACTGATTGATGAAATTCAAACTCTATTCCATATAAGTAGAAATGAACAATAGGTAAAAATATAAATCTCCGTATAAGTAGAAATGAACAATCGGTAAAAGTAAAAATCTCCATATAAGTAGAAATGAACAATAGGTAAAAATATAAATCTCTATATAAGTAGAAGTGAATAATGCCAATTATATATTTTTGTTTAAGAGAAATGAGGGGAAAACCTAGAACAAAACACAAGCTATTCTACAATAGAGATCTTCATAAAACAATGAATGCTTAAACAATGATAAAAAAAAATAAAATTAAAAAATAAAATTAAAAAAAAAAACTAATGAAGACACAACGAATATTGCCCCAAATATTTTTCTCCTATTTGAAAATGAATGAAATTATTAATTATAATTAGTTGGATATTATGTGACATGGAAATTTTCCTTCTACGCAGTGTAGATACGATAAAATTCTATTTCATTCGACAATAGCAAAATACATATCTCTATGAAGAGAAATAATAATGATATTTATATAAATATAAATATGAAAGTAAAATACTATTAGTATATAAATATGAAAGTAAAATACTATTAGGCTAATAAATATATCCCAAAATTCAATTTCAAAAATAGTAAAATTTATTGATCTCCATAAAGAAATAAACAATGGCATTTATACATATAAATTTAAACAATTTATTAATTTTTTTAAATAAATATTCATTGACACCTTTAAAATGAATGGAATTGTTAAATTTGATTAATTGGGTATTATTACCTAACATAAAAGTTTTGAGATAATACAATACTTTCTAGATATGCTTAGAGTGGTTATGGTAAATTTATATTTTGACTATAGTAAAATACATATCTCTATGAATAGCAGTGGCAACCATATTTATATAAATAATAGAAGTAAAATACTAATATGTTAACAAATATATCCTAAAATTCTATTTCAACAATAGTAAAACTATATATCTCCATAAATAGAAATAAACAATGACATTTTTTTTTGTTTTGTTTTTTTGGAAGAGAGAGAGAGGAGGGAAAAACCTAAAACAAAATGTAAACATTCTATAAATGTTTTTTAAATATTCATTTACGCCAGTGGCCTATTGGCGCCAATAGCCATGCTATTGGCTAGCATGGCCATTGGCCTTTTTTTTTTTGTTTTTTGTTTTTTGTTTTTTGTTTTTTGTTTTTTTTTTATATATCTGGTTAGACTTGGAACTGTCGGTTCAAGAATCGGAACCGAAACCTTAATATAAGGTTTTGGTTCTGGCTTGGCCATTTGCGAAATCGGAACTGGAACCGCAGTCACCCCTACCTCTACTGTCCTTAGCGATATGTGTCTCCGCCTCACAGTTTAAAAAGATGGTGGTTCAATTTGGGTAGCCCAATAGGCGCTAAATGGACCACGAATGCACCAGCATGTTATCCTTCCACTGCAAAGAGGAGGAGGTTATCGCGGCTTTGTGAAGCCAGCCTCACGCGGTGCCCTCCAATCTAAGGACCGAGAAGCCTCTGCCTTCGCAGAGAATCCATGGCACAACTCACCACTTGAAACGGGCAGGTCAGAAGATAGCACTCCCGAGCCCAACCTTCAGGGCAAGCCCAATTGTTCCACCATCTTAATGCTCCCTCTTTGAAAATGAATGAAACTTTTTAAGTTTGATTAGTTAGATACTAAGAGGTGTGGAATTTTTTAGACAATACAATCCTTTCGTGATACGCTTAGAGCAAATATGGTTAAATTCTATTTTGACGATAGTAAAATACATCCCTATGTATATAAATAACAATGATATTTATATAAATAAGAAATGTAAACTACTAATGTGCTAATAAATATATCATAAAATTCTATTTCAACAATAGTAAAAATATAGATCTTCATAAATAGAAATGAATAATGAACATTTCTATTTCAACGATAGCAACAATATTTATATCATATCAATAATAAAAGTAATAAAATACTAATAGGCTAATAAAAGTATATCCTAAAATTCTATCTCAACAATGGTAAAAGTATAAATCTCCATAAATAGAAATGAACAATGACATTTATACATATATATATATATATATATATATATATATATATATATATATATATTTTTTTTTTTTTTTTCATTAGATAAAGGAGGGAAAAAATTAAAACAAAATTTAAGCATTTTATTAATTTTTTAAAAAAACATTCATTGATTTTAATGTTTTTTCCCTCCTCATTTAGTATTTATATATTTAGGCCATGAATAATTTTCTCTTTACGGAAATGAATAAAATTAATAAATATGATCGATTAATTGGATACTAAGTGACGTACTGACGTGAAATCTTTAAGAGATACCATCATTTCTGGATGTGCTTAATACTAATATGGTAAAATTCTGTTTCAACAATAACAAAATACTAATAAGCTAATAAATATATCCAAAAATTATATTTCAACAATGGTATAATTAACAAATTGAGTCACAAACACAACAACAATAATATTAGTTGAAAAATAATATAATAAATAAATAATTAGTAAAATTTGACTTCTATGTAGTCTTGGAAGGTAGCATTATATTGCAAATGGGGCAGTAATTGGTTGTTCTCGCACAGTTATTGCACAGGCAAAGATGGCGGCACGGGCGAACGGCCATGCTATCATCGTCGCAGGCCCTCTCTAGCATATTTTGCAACTGATTCTAACCACCAGCACTTGATCCGGGTCCAACGACGAAGACTGTACCTCCTCCTCTGCCGCCCCATTGCCGCCGCCGCCCCTACAATGCGTGGCCTCGTGCAGGGCAGCATTGAGAGCAGCGTTGGTTTCTTTAAGAGCAGTGAGCCTCTCCGCCATGGCCATAGCTTGAGTTCTATAACTAGCAAGCATGGCTTCCAGTTCGCCGTTCTTCGTCCTCACTTCCACTATTTCTTCCTCCGCCTCCTTCAGCTCCTTCGCCGCTTTTTCCTCCACCGCATACTGCCGCTATCACCACCGCCACGTATTGCCGCTGTCTATACCACGCAGTTTATTCTGGAGTAAGGATGGTGTTTGCCGTATTAGCAAATTTGGTTGGTGCTTTTGTTGTTCTGTCAATGTATCCACAAAATCATGACCAATGAGTGTTGATTTTACTTAGCACTGCCATACTGGAAAATTTGACTCGGTTAACCGGATGGGAGCATTCAAATGGATGACAACAGGAATGGGAGTTGTGGTGGTCATTTGAGAAACTGGTGGGTGAAGGAAAAAGAGAAGGATCGTGTAATCTCGGTGGAGAAAAAGGGCTTTTGATACCATATAGTGAAGTAATATGTTGTGTTTATTAACAAAATAATGAAACTATTTATACAAAAGTTTAACAACTAAATACCAAGCAAATTTGCCACTTAATACAAATCATAAACACTAATATATAAAATCTCTAAAGTTTCAGCAGCGGATGCATACATCTACACATTGATTATTAATTAGGTAATTATTTGCTCGAATTCGAGCAATGATAAAATTAGAAAATACAGTCGATACAACACAATTCTTCAATTGCATTATATAATATTCGATGTTATAATTATATAATTGTATATCGATCCAAATATTATAACAAATTCATTCCGTGCATCGCACGAGTGAAAATACTAGCACTACTACAGAATTCACATACAACGTCGGGCCTTTAACGTCGGCTATATACATAGCCGACGTTAAAGACTTGTTCATTATTTTTTTTATTTATTAAATTTATAACGTCAGCTATTAACAAATAGCCGACGTTATAAATAAAAAATAAAAAAATAAAAGAAATAAATACCTTACGACGTCGGATATTTATCTAGCCGACGTCGTAGGGTAAATTTTTATTTTTTAAAAAAAATTGTTTAGATATAACGTCGGCTAAACGTTATTAGCCGACGTTATATACTAAAAAATAAAAAATAAATAAAAGAAATAAATATGTTACGACGTCGGCAAACTATTTAGCCGATGTCGTATGGTGTTTTATTATTATTATTTTTAAATTATTTAGATATAACGTCGACTAATTGTTATTAGCCGACGTTATATAGTTATTAAAACAGATCTGGGGTTTGAATTTCAGTCATTCTTCACCACTTCGCCATCGCCACATCCCTCATCTCTTCCCATTGCCACCGCCCTCCTCTCTTCGCCATCGCCACTGCCAACGCCACACCGCTGCCCAGCCGCGACAGCCAGTCATCGCTCCGCCTCCGCCGTAGCCTCGGCGTCCGCCATCTCCCACGCCCACACCGCTGCCCAAGCCATCACTGCATCGCACTGTCGCCGCCGCCGCTCCGCCACACACAGACGCGCTGCCCAGCCTCCCCGCCGTCCGCTGCACTACCGCACCGCCGTTCGCTGCACTCCCGACCCCTGTCCGCTGCACTCCCGACCGCCGTCCGCTGATCGCCACCATCCGAAGTATTTTTTTAATTATTATTAATTAATTTGAATTTTAGTAAATATAATTATATTTAAGGGTTTATTTGTATTATATTTGTAATTATTATTAATTTATTTTCAATTTTAGTAAATAGATTTGTATTTTAGGGTTTATTTGTATTATATTTGTAATTATTATTGATGGGGATATGGGACCCTAGGGGGTCCATTTTATTGGGAAAGTATTGGCCCAAGTGGGGGTGGTGAAAGAAGGAGGTTGACCCAAGTCTTGTTGGGCTAGGAAGACAAGCACGCATGGCGGGCTGGGGTGAAGAGCAAGGACCGGAAGGGGGGGGTTGGTATGGCGTGAGGGGGGGAGGTAGGTACGACATGAGGGGGGAGGTAGGTATGGCGTGAGAGGGGGGGGGGGAGGTAGGTGCGGGAGGTAGGTACGACATGAGGGGGGAGGTAGGTATGACATGAGGGGGGAGGTAGGTATGGCGTGAGGGGGGGAGGTAGGTGCGGCGTGAGGGGGGAGGTAGGTACGGCGTGAGGGGGAGGAGGTAGGTATAGCGTGAGGGGGGAGGTAGGTACGGCGTGAGGGGATGGGGGTAGGTGCGGGAGGTAGGTACGGCGTGTGGGGGGATGTAGGTGCGGTGTGCATGGTGGAGGATGTTACTCAGCGTGCGTGGTGTGGATGCGGGAGTCGCGGGGATAACGGCGACGTGACGTGCATGGCGACAAACAAGCGGAGTGGGGGAGTAACAACGTGGGACACGTAGACGCCAGAGGAGGAGAGGGGCTTGCTATAAATAGGGGCCCAGGATCTTTGGCTAAAGGCAACTCAGACACGACAGGCACTACGGTCTAGTGGTCTTGATCTCATACTCTTAATCCAGTCACCTGGGTTCGATTCCTATCAGTAGCATAGTTAGCTATAGCCCATCCTGTAGGCCTTGTTCTTTATATTTGGGCCGCCATTTTGGGCCTGTACCTCGGACTTTTGTACGCATTGTTCTGGGCCTAGCGCCCTACCCCCCGTCCTATGTTCCTATACCCGGTTTATGGTGGACCCGGTCCCAATAAAACCATCAATTATAAATTTATTTCGAATTTTAGTAAATATATTTGCGTTTTAGGGTTTATTTGTATATATTTGAAATTATTATTAATTTATTTCAAATTTTAGTAAATATATTTACATTTTAGGGTTTATTTGTATATATGTGAAATTGTTATTAATTTATTTCAAATTTTAGTAAATATATTTGCATTTTAGGGTTTATTTGTATATATTTGTAATTATTATTGATTTATTTCAAATTTTAGTAAATATATTTGCATTTTAGTGTTTATTTGTATATATTATTGATTTATTTGTATTATATTTGAAATTAGTATTGATTTATTTCAAATTTTAGTAAATATATTGTTGAAAAAATGCTTGTAATCTGTAATAAATACAACAAAAATACAGAATACAACAGGGAATAAAAACTGGATATCAAAGGCAGGAAGAGATGGCTTCAACATATCAAAGGCCGGAAGCGATGGCTTATCAAGGCAGATTCAAGTTACAGGATGAGATCGGTACAATACCTTTTTTTTGTCTCGGCCTCGGCAGGTACGTAAGTTTTATTTTACTTACTAGTTAAGTTCTGGTTTCTGTCTAGAAGATATGCATGAGATTCTATTGAGTTTTTTCATAGCCTACTAGTACAAGGATATGTTTATGCATGTATATAAATATTTTTATATTGAGACTCTGTCTCGGTTGCATGCATAGTATACAAGATACATGTATAATATGTTGGATCTTGGTGTGCTGTATATTGTCAAATTTGGTGTAGTTTGGTGTTGTAAATATTTCTGGTATCATTTGCATGGATACAGAGTTGCATAATGATAAGCTGAAATTATTTTTATTTTTCATGCATGAAATATTGGTTTTTTAGCACACAGATGTCTTTATCCTTGTGAAAGTTTTTGAAATATTATGTTATTAATATTTCTAATAAAGACAGAAATGCCTTCGAAATATTCTAGTATATTTATAATGAAGGCATGTAGAAAGTTTTATGCATGAAGTATGCATAATGAAATTCATAAAATTTATGAATGTCTTTAACACAAAGTTTCTCATTTTGAGAATGTGTTAAATTCTGAAAGCCAA